GACAAAGACGAAGAAGATGCATGACCGCAGTACGGCTCGAGGTTGTCAGGTCAGGACGACCGCGACTCGGAAGGACTCGGATCGCCCATATTCCAGGGGAAGTAATTTGAGTAATTTAACTTTTAAGACGCTCAAATGCTCGCTAACGCTTGAATCGAAGTGGCAAGACCTTGGAATTGCGAAGGCCCAGCTGTGTTTGCGTTTTTGGAACATACTCTTTTTTCTTTGTTACCAATGTTAACTTCAACAGAGGCGAAAATCCAAAAGACAGCAGCTGAATGCGGCCTCCGCCACGCACAAAATCAACAATGAATGAATTGGATTGGCAGCTCCGACCGTTTGACGGCATGATAAATTATAATAAGTAAAATATATTGCGCTCGCGCAGTGTCGTCCGGCGACGGTAAGAGAAACTAGGTGCAATGGGAGGTGTGGGTTGTCCTTAGACTTCTAAGGATATGGATGAAAACCAGAGTACGCTGGGATTGCCCCAAGGTACACTTGGTTTGCCCCGAGTTTCTCCGTCGATACCGTCGACTCCTGCGTCCGGAGTCGGTTGCGAAGCATATGGCGAGTCAGAATGATCTGGTGTGCGATGGCGACCCAAAGAAACATGGCTGCAGCCACAGTCAACGACGCGGCATTGCCCCCGTTTATGTTCAGGGCCACATCGAGTTCGATTCCGCCTACATTGATTGTGATATCCACGAGCTTGCTGATATTGTCCGTTACATAGTGCACAATCACGTAGTTGATACCGAAGAGGACGGTGGTCATGATGGCAGCGAGGACCTCCACACTAATCACAAGGAAGGAGAAACACATTGAGAGACACGACGAAGTTCGGCGGAAGCAGATGAGGGAGCTCAAGAGTGAGATGAAAGTGAGGACAGCGGCTGGTATAGCATTAGTGAAATTTAGCACCCGATAGCGGCACACTCACCGACAGTGTACAGGGCGAGCGCCCCGGTGAGGGGGGCTGAAACGAGGTCCACCAGTTTGTCTAGGCCCCTGGTCCGTGTGAGGGCAGATGTATGCGAAAGATGGTGTTTGACTTACAAAAGACTCGCGACTGTGCTGTCGAGAGTGTAGCCGCGATGACAACTTGCACCAATGTGGTTCGGAATGATACCTCTTCGGAATATGCCGGGGATGGGGTCTTGTAATTTCTGACCGGAAGTCAGATTTAGGGTGAGGAGCGAAGATTGAAGGCAGGTGAATGCGTACGACGTTGAAGTCGAACCCATCAAAACAGACACCCCACACGCCAAAATCCAAAGCGGCGCTGGCAGACTCGGCGATAACCACCTGGGAGCCTTTGAAGGCGGCGCTGATGTGGAAGAGGGAAACTGTCTTTGTGACTGGGACAGAAAGGTTGACCCGGAAAAGAAGCAGGAATGCGATCAACAAGAATAGTGAGGAGACCCATGGGCTCAAGAATGCTACAGTCTTGGGGTTAGGGTGGTGTTTAATGTAGTCCAGTCCAGTGCGGATGCGTTGGAAGGGGCTCATGCCGGAAGGAATCATGCCGGTGTGCGTAAAAAAGGGACGTGGAGTGGAATAAGTCAAGTTCGATTTGGACCCGGCATTTTATACACGCATTTGCCACAGAAATGTCAACACGAACAAGCACGCAGTGCGGTGGAGCGGCAGTGACGGGGAAAGCGGGGATTGGATTCGGGGCGAGGAGCGGAGACAACGGTGCTGAGCGCCAGTGAACAACAATTGGGTCGTAAGACGTGATCGCAGTCGACTGTGGAAAGGAGGGCGCTAAGGGCGACTGGGCGAAGCTAGGTGAACCTAAGGAGAGCATGAACAAGATTGCAAGAGGCGGTCGGGGTTTGCGGGGGCCACGTGCAGTGCTGCATACTGTGGCAAAACGGCGCTGCGGCTAAGCGAAGCTGTTCTTGGGATAGCTGGGTTGCAACGCGGGTATTGGTACAATACACTGCAGCGTTTTTCCTCTGTCAAGATCGCTTGTGTCTGCTGCTGCAGCCGCCCCGACTAAATTAGCGGCACGCGCGCAGGACGCGTACACGATCCACCCGAACGGGGACAGCACCAAATGCGTAGGTCACCGCGCTGGGGGGAGCGTTCGTCTTCGGTGCTGCACTTGACATGTGCGTCACCCTCTTGCTATGTTTCGTGTGAAGAACTCACTGATGGATATTCGCAGTTACAACGGCTTCGCTCCCTCACACAAAAGTGGTACTCCAGCAGCAGATCCTGTATCACCAAAAACCCACGCCTCGGAATAGGCTCTCGACGTCGCGTACGACGCTGGCGACTCAAGCTTCCCGCTTGTCCATGGGATCAAGATTCAAAGCCATCCGCCCGACGGCGGTGAGGACGAGTCGCCGTATCAGTCCTGGAACGGACGGAGTTCTCCTGGCGCCCCTGCTGTCCATCTCAACATCCCAGCAAGGATATATGTATGGGCTTGACCGATAGGGAGCAAGACGAATCGCAACCCTCTTCAGATCTGGAAATGCGTTGAGGAGAACGCAGGTAGTTGAGCAGAAGTAGAGGGACGACATTGGATAGTATGAAGATTCAACGGACTCTATTAAAGCCTCCAAGTATCGTTTTCGGTGTTACGCGTTCACGTTCCAAGTCCAAATTGTCCAATGTCCACTAATGTCCATCGTCAGGACTCGGAACTCAGGGGGCTTGACCGACGAGGGGCAGCCGTGTACAGACGGGCATGCTTCATCGCTGTCCGGTCGAAGCGAGATATTGCAGCAAGGTGGTGGCAGAAGCGAGAAAGTGGCTGGCAAGAGAACCCGGTTTATTCCGCGTGAAAATCCACCTCAGGATCATCCCGATCGGACCTTTGACTCTTTGAGGCCCCATCATTAGTGCTGCCGGGAGGTGAGGTGGAGGTACCTCAAGGTGATGGGCTATCAATCTCGGGCGACCTCGAGGCTCCACAATGTTACCTCGGAGGTACATCCGAGGTGTCGTCCGTAAAAGGAGATTTGGTGTCCCACGCCCTCCCCGCTGCGTTTTTTCTGCCAGTGCACCTCATTGTAATATAGGACAGGCCCAAATGGTAGCTCGGGCTTCAGCATTGGTACCCAAAATGTTCTCGGAATCTGAATTTGAATTTTTATCGGCTCAATTGGCCTGGAATTCGCAGAATTGTGCTGCGAGGCTATAGAGCTGTTTTCTTTGTGAAAAGTTAGCCAGTTTTCCCTGCAATGGTGAGGGTCGATGCTTGAGTGTTTATAGATGGATCTGGGTTTTAGCCTGGGTTGTTCGGACGCGATATTGATGCAAAACAAGCACAGTCTTGAGGATTGTGGATGGGCAGCCGCGACAGCTCACGACGTGAAGGATTTTAATTGAGATTAGTACTTAGACATCTAAAATAGAGTACCATATCTCGAATCGAAACCTTAGCTGAGCCCCAGAGATAGTGTCTTGTTGAAAGTTCCCGCTTCCGGTTTGAATCGGCCCGCACGCGATTTCCTTCCCGTTTGCAATCGGAAACGGCAAGTTAGTCGGCGGGTTGTGACATGCGAGCTTCTGGGAGCAAGATGAATGTGTACAGTGACTGCTCAATCTCAAGAACGATAGACAGGACGCGCGAGACGTGGCGCGACGCGAACGGTCACGGCCAGTCACGGACCGTTACAGCGCTCCAAGAATGATGGCCCATCAAGCCAGCTCGGAGGTGAGGTCCACCTCACCTCGGGTCATTCCCATATACGGCACCTCGAGGTGACCTCACCTCCGAGGGCCTCCACCTCGCGGCAGCACTACCCATCATCCTCTGCGTGACAGGTGACCTCGAAAATCAATGCGGAGTCACTGTGACGTCACGCTACCCCGCATTCTCCCGCGCGGAAGTCCGTTCATCTCTCTTACGGCCGCCTCTCATCGCCCCTGTTCAAGCCCGCTCTAATCCCGACGTACTCATGAAGAGCGAGGTAATAGCGAGGCGGCGACTCCCGGCTCCGAGCCGAGAGCCCCAAGAAGATGTGTATAGAGGAACGGTACGGCTATTACACATCTTGTAGTAAATACGAGGCCCATAATGACAAGAACTAGAAAATAAGGATGTGGGCGGGCGGGCGAAGATAAAAACCCGAGAGAGAGCAGCAAGGGCGACGAGGGCTGAGTTGCTCAGGAGAGCCCAGCCTTGCTTATAAGTCCTCGAGACCGATCGAGGGCCCGGGGGTAGGGGTTGTGTCTCGTACAGCCCGGCTGAAGAGGAGAGCGGGCGCCGGTCAGGAGTGACACAGGACGCGCTCGGATCCCGTGTTTTGCGAACAACGCCCCGGGCGCCGACGTCAGGAGGAGCAGGAAGGAAAGGGGGGAGAAGATGCTATTCACAGCGAGCGGTATTAGACTACAGTAAAATAAATTCTAAACTCGACTATTTCCACTTTTCAACCGCTTCCTCAACAACACAATCTCGTTTCCCCACAGCTCGCGTTCCAGCCCGTTCCTTTTGAAATCCTATCGATAGGCCTCAGCTGTCCAGCCCGCTGCGCCACGGTATCAAGAGCGTCACCCATGACATGGTGAAAGCGGTTAGTAGCGAATCCTGCAAATACAATGAATGTTCTTTGGTTGCTCTTTCTGTCTGAATTCACGGCCTGGCTGCGTTCTGGCCTCGAGATGGGCATCACTGGCAACATACAACGGCATCCCGCACTACGCCTCGTTTTCCACCCGGGTCTACTTGTTCCCCCCCCCGAAGTCGCTATTCGTCTGAGCTCTCTGCGAAAGCTTGGAGTCAAGTTGAACCCGATGTCAATGAACGGGACCACGGCGTCTCCTTCTTCCATGCCGAGTCTCCTGAACCAACAACTTGAAGGTCTTGTATATGGTTCGCGTATAAACGGACTTCCGCTCCTCCCTTGCAGACATCTCGAAGATTACGACGTGGGTCTACCCCTCGACTGAATATTATTAACCCACCGCGAGTGCCAAATCCTTATCTTGGAACCCTGGAGTCTGATCCGGACCAATACTAACGCACCGCTAATCATGGCCTGGTGGTGTACCGGTAACACATCCTCTCAAAATGTGGTTTAGGGATAAGAACTTTCCGAGGAGGTCCCTTGTTCGAATCAAGGTCAGGCCCTAAACAAGGAGTAGGATAGGATTTTTTTCCACTATTTTACACTTTGCTTCCGAAGCCCCACTTGCACGGCCTGGCATTCCTCTCCTTCTCCGTGCATCAACTTAACTCTCTCGACGAATTTTGATAGCGATCAATGTTGAGATTGAGTTCAATCTCCCGTCGGTAGTGACCCATTGTGATTGATTATGTTGCATACAATGAGAAAGGTTTACACCCAAGCATTGGCCTGGTGGTGTAATGGTAACACATCCTCTCAACTTGCGCTTGGTTACAAACAGTCTGAGGAGGTCCCTTGTTCGAATCAAGGCCAGGCCATCTCTTTTGTCTCCCATTTTCGCTCGGCTCCGTCCTTCTCCTCGCTCGCTCCCTTGTTCCTCAAGTTGAAGTTGAATACAACAACCCGAATGATTCGACTCCCCCGAAGATCCAAACTAGTTAGTGATACCCATTGCACCTTGCATGGCCTAGTGGTGTAACGGTTACACGCCCTCTTATATTTAACCATGAATCATCAGATTCCGAGGGAGCTCCTTGTTCGAACAAATGTTAGGCCATGTCGCGATTTTGACCATCTTTTTCATTTGGTTTTTGTTTGCAGGGGCGCCGGTATTATCTTCATATGGTTACCGCAGACGAAATACAGCGATGCAACCCTTTAGATGACAAAGGAAATATTAAGAAAATTAACTCGGAAGATACTCAGATTCAGAAGGGACCATTCGAAGTTGAGGCTATGACCCCCTTCCGGATGTGGGACCGTGATTTTTTGGCGCTCAGCCAGCGAGTCTGTGCGGGAGTAAGTGTCCTTGGCTAAACGTTGGAACGAATGTCGACAGTCCCTGCCCGCCTTTGGCATTCAAAAAAATGAAAACACAACTTATAATTCACCTCCAAAGTGACGACAGATGGGATACAGTCATGTGTGAGTGGCATATGCACTCCGTTGTGCTGGAGATGTGTTTTTCAGAGTACCGAGGGAGTAACCGCATCACGATTGAAATTGAACCAAGGTCACGTGTTTGATGTTCAACTTCGCATTTCTCAAGCATTCGACGATTTGTACAGCAATTCGATGCGGCAATATGTGATTAGTGTGCAACAATAAGTAGTTCAATTAGAATACAGAAATTTAGGACGCTGCCTGAGGATGGAGGCGGTATTTGGGCCCACCTAGATAAAGTCGCCTCAAAAATATATGATAAACACCGCACATAAGTACCTCTCGATGCTCAAGCGCATATTCTAAGCCACAAGAAACAGGAACGGCTGTATATATGGTGGATCTTTGAAATCCCGGTCCAAGGGGAAAAACCTTTCGAACCCTATCTTCCGGCACGGGTGTCATTGGGTGAAGTCGTCAATGCATATAAAACTCGGTAATCAGGCAGGTATCATCAAGTACAGAACTGGTGACCGGCATAGTTTGCAGCGCAAGGGCGAGCTGCTTGCAAGGTCGTGTCGCCTTGTACTTTCACCATGCCTACCCCTGCACGACTCCCAGTGCGACCAATGTATTCTGGGCAGCGCATTCTTGAGCGGAGGCTTTGCTCTTGCCACGGCCACGGCCATACTCAACGCGATCCACTAGGAAGTTCGTGAGAAATGCTCTGGTGGGCCACGGAAACGACAAAGCATCCAGAGAAAATTTGGTCTGGCCCCGGTTCACTCACGATAAGCAACAGAAGTCCATGTCAGCCCCTTTCTGATACTAAGACTGTCAACATATTCCACCGGTTGTTGCGAAGCTAATGCTAAGATGTCCAACATCGTTCTATAGTGCTGCGAGTCTATACAGTTTTGTTGAATCAAAGGCACGAGGAGCATCACGTAGAACATACTTTTCTGGATGGGGAGAGGCGGTGAACTCTTATGGCCTTCGTAGAAGGTTGACCCCCTCAATTCCGCGCAGAGGTTCTGGATCACATCCAGTGCCTGGACAGAGTTGCGATCGCGGGAGGCTGCATGATCTGGAATATTCTCAGACACAACCATAGGTATTCGAAGGTAGGCACGTACGGTGCGCGGCGGCAGCGTGGACTTGAGTCGGTTGGCTCAAAGTATGTGTAACTTGGGACGTCTCCTGGCCGCCTTGTGTGGATACGGATATCCTTCCCTTGAAAGTCTCGAGGCACACACCACCTGTGAAGTGTGATTGTATCGACTTATCTCGAAATATAATGCCGAATGCCCTACCATAGGCGGTACCCACCAGGAAATTCTTTGACACGTGCCTGATGAGTTCAATGTCATCAGGAATCTTGTTTTCTTCCTGCAAAGGAATCAGTGTCCAAACGCATCGCCGGTGATTTACGCACTTTATTCAAAATCGACGCCCACTCATCGTCGTGGGTGACCGCGACTTTTGCGTCGACAACCTGGTGGCCGAAGCTGAAATTAGAGATGATAAATCGAAAGGAAAGGGCTCTCTCACACAGTCAAGGAGATACTCGTTGATTACAGTTGAAGGGTGATAGGACTGAGAGTCTTTCAGTCAATCAACAGACAATATCATTTCGCTGCTCACATTGGAAGAGCTCAGTGATTCATCATTACTTCCGCTATCAATTGTAGTAATCCTAGACGCCGTTCGGGAGATAATTGAATCATTGGGACCGGATGGCGATTTAGGGGATGGCGTGGACGGGCCAGCGACCGATGATTGTGGTTGAGAAAACGGAATGAATATGGCTTTTGACAGAATATCGGACAATTTGGACTTTACGATGTCGTATATCTTGACCGCTCGCCTCAGTGCCGGCTTTGAGTGTATTGCGACTTTGAAGCCCCGGAGAAATACAGTTTGATTTTCCCGCCAAGATTCCTCCCCCGTGCGACGACGGGGACCAGAGTTCATCGACGAGCCACCACTCTCCGATTCCCAAGCCCATGCGACGCCTGCATTACCAGCTTGTGCGGCTTTGAGTCTGAGTGATATTTTCCCCTCGCTCGACTGATCTTCAACCACTGCGACACTCCAAGACGTCGATTTGGTGACCCCGGTGACGAGGTAGAGGTCACCGTTTCCGATCATATACTGGAGATCGCGATTGACAAACGCGTACCAGTTTTGCGCGTGTTTCAAAGCGTAATCACGGAACACACCCTGACAGCGCAAGTCCTGGCGGGATGCACCATCAGGTAGTAACAGCAGTCCGGTTTGTTTCGAATCTATCGATACTTCGGACCACTGCACCTGCCCCGAAAGGTAAAAACCTGCTTTTGAATGAGTCTCGATGTGTCGGATTCGCTAGCAAATGTACTCACACGTTCTCAAGGCCAGCATCCACATCGAGGCGCCTTTTGCTGATACTCGTATTGCATATGTGAGAGCCTGGGAGATGCACCAAAGCGCTGGTGGCAATGGCGTCAGGTCCGAGAGGGATTTGCTCGAAGGCGGGGGGGACACCGAATCGGTTGGAGGGATCGTCTCTGGCACGACAAATATTGAAGATTGGGTCAAAAGATCCATTCTGAGTTATCAGGCCAACGTCCCCGATTTCGGTGCCAATCCTCCGAACTGACTCTGGGAGGTCATCGAATGGTGCTGGGTGAAACAATGGGTACCCCTGCATTTTTGCAAAAAGGAGGCGGCTGTAGAGCTGGCTGTCCGACATGTGGAGGTTCGCTGAGACTTGGGGGCAAGAGAGGAAGTCGCAAGGGCAGTGCGCTAATAGCTCGGCGTTTGGTATTCTGGGAAAGCTGTAGAGTTCGATCACAGTATGTGCCTCATTTAGAGCGGCAAAGAACACTGCCACTGACGGAGAAGCTTCTCTTGTAGACTACCAGGGCCAGGGATCCATCTCGAGGTATTAATAGCCTCGCCCACTGGTTTGTCGGTGCGTGTGTGTGCGGGGTGCCGCCACTGTTGGGCCCGTCGACCTCGCCCGGGTGGGCCTCGATGGGGAGATAGTGCACGGTGAGATGGGTGTTTGACGGCGAGGATAGTCTCATGATCACTGGTAGATAGTAGTAGTAGACTTAGTGCGGGAGGAGGCCGAGTTAGAGCGGACTCTGCCGACGCGGGGCAGGGCTGTGTACAGGCAGGCGTGTTTCATCACTGTCGGGTCGACCTTCGTCCAAGGCTTAGGACCGAGCCCGCAAAACCAACTCGCCCTCAGTCTTCATCATGACCCGCCTCCGGCGCAGCGTCGTTGCTTGCCGCACAGGCTCACGGTCGGTGAGCTTGACGTGCAAGATAGTGGATACGGCAGCGTCGAATTCTTGTGTGTGGAATTCAGCGGCGGACTGCGTACGAGCCACAAAGGACACAGCACAGCGGAAAGGAATATACCGTTTCTGATCATAGAACGGTGCGCAAAATGCAAGGCAGAACTTCTCTCGGGCATGCTCTTGAACGCAACGAACCATCCGTCAAATACAAACGCAAACGATGAGTTGGGGAAAAGCCACTCTGACACAAACACGGAGAAGTCAACATACCAATTCTGCAGCGAAACTTTTATTCGCTGGTGAGATTGAACCAAGGTCACGTGTTTCATGTTCAACTTCACATTTCTCAAGCATTCGACAAAACAATTCGGTGCTGCCGTATGCGATTAGTGTCGGCTGTTTGATACGTGACATTTCAAAGCACGACTGCGATATATGCGACTCGCTATCCCTCAAGTGACTTTCAGCTGTTGCTAGATGAAACGGACTACATCAGCAAAACACGGATTTTTGGGAGCCTCTGGAGCGCTATATAGTGGCCTGTAGTGGCTTGTAGTGGCCCGTAGTGAAGGTCTTTTGCTACGTAGTGCTCTGCAGTGCTTCAGAGCACTACTGCAAAATCCGGGGTTTGCTGATGGCCTATACAGCTCATTTCGACAATAGGATTCATAACTGGGGACATCCGCACAATCTTCCATTCAATTCTCACTGAATCTCAGATGGTAAAACTTTCACCATCCATACTGCTCTGCCGTCCATCCCCACAGTTTCCCGTCGGGGCCAATCTTGTTAACGATCTGTTCGTTTCGATCCAACGCCGTCACGCTAGC